AATTATAGTACTTATTTATAAATGGAAACAGGTATCTTGAAAAGAGAATTTTGTTTATTTTTAGTGAAAAATATACTGTATTATTTTATTGTTCTTTCACATATATATACCACTCAGTTTAATAAAAACATTTATTGAGTTCTTAAATTTTTCTGTCAATGTCCATGGAGCTTATCTAGGCAGTAAATTTAAAGATCATTATTTTATTCTTTATGTATCTATAGGATCAAAAACCAACAAAAAGCTCATGTTATTTAGGGAAACAAATCAACAAAATAATTTGTCAATTATACCTCAATAAAGCTGGAGAAAAAGAAAAATAAACAAGTAAATATGCTTTAAGGATTGAAAGATCAGTGGATATTACCTGCTCGGAAAAAGAAAATGTAGCCTATAAAAAAGGCCAGTTCTGTAAATCCTTATATCTGTATCTTTTCTGAAATAAACAAGAGGCTAAAAGTGGTCAGAAGATCAAGAGGGGTCTGACTATATTAAGGATTTAGCTGATAGCTCTCAAAGAGAAGGGAGATTAGAGAAAATGCAACTAGTTGTGTCTTTTGTTGCACATTGAGCCTGGCTGGGGTAGAGAAGAAAAGGAATTTAACAGGAGTCCTCTCTAGTCACCCCTAGTCATGCCTAGACTCCTGGCCAGAAGGACTTTTGTTACTTTTGAAACAAACTTTAATTTTTTAAATGGGTCTGAAAACATTCGTACATTTGCAAAGCCAAGTATTTAAACATTAAGGTGACAATATTTTACTTACGTCATTCCAAGAACTCTAGTATAAAAATCCAATGACTTCTTAGGATCCTTAATTCGTAGCATGGTCTGCTGCAATAGAAAATCCTAAGGAGAAACAGTATATGTTAAACACCTTTAATTTTTTTTACCACTTATTACCAACATTAATTGTGCTTTCTGTGACATGATACAAAAATAGTCTACCATTGTAACATAATGTTAAAAAAGAAAAGAAAAACTGTCCTCTCACCCTACCCTGGACATCATCTGGATGCGATTCCCTTATCTCTCACCTACAATTTCCTATGGCTCTCTGCCCAGTGGTGTTTTTTGGCTGCAGTCCCATGTGGGCAGGTCCAAAGTGCTAAGGAGTTTACACTCCAGAAATGACTTTCGACAAATGGTGGATAAAAAATTTGGCATCCTTGTCCCCTAGTGGGGCAATTGTGAGGCATGTTCCACGAAGTCCCTCAGCGGCTCCACAGCAGGACCGTGCCCCACTTGCCCAGGGGGTAATCTGCTCGTATACATCTATTATTGGCCTTCCTTCTCCACTCCTCAGAGATCTCAGCGACCACCTCCCAAAGAAACTATTTACTACCTTGTCTCCACTCTCCTTTTGGGCTACCTCAACTAAGACACCGATGTTACAAATAACGAGTTTGATCACTATATTATTTGCTGAATGAATGCATACATGCTCTTCCAGAAGCATTTACTGGTAACCATGTAAATTAGCAAGAAGTTACTGACTAGGTCCTAGACTCCTAAATAACTAAAAGGGTAAAAACTTACTATTGCTAATACCTTTGTGAAACTGTTCAATTTACATATCAGGAAGCAGAAAGCTTGACTGAGAAAAAGGTAGAAAGTATATAAATTCATGGAGTTGAGATTATCATCAGCGTTAGTAAAACTAAGGAGTTTGACTTCATTAGATACAATAACTGCGTGTGAGGTCTTACTATCTACAGATATTCACATTCCCATTTTATAGATGAGAAACTGACACTGAGTAATTAAATTAATTGTCCAAGGCTTCTGATTCTGAGTTCAGGTCTCCTTTTACTACAGGTACCTTCCAGACCATGAGTCTGTTAACCTCATCAGTGCTTCCAAATAGATTTTTTTCTGTTATACCCATGGACTTAGGAAAATAGGCCTGAAAATTCTGACCATTTCCTTTACAGCCAGATAGCTATCTCTCCCCTATAACGCACATCATACAAAATACAAATATACTTCATTCTGCATCATTAGGAAATTATATTTTTCTATTTTGCTAAATTTTAAATAACCAAGATGTACTTTTTTTTTTTTTTTTGAGACAGGATCTTACTCTGTCGCCTGGGCTAGAGTGCAGTGGCACCATCACAGCTCAATGCAACCTCCAACTCCTGGGCTTAAGCAATCCTCCTGCCTCAGCCTCTGAGCAGCTGGGACTACAGGTGGGCGCCACCATGCCTGGTTAATTTTTCCATTTTTTTGTAGAGATGGGGTCTCTCTCATATTTAGGCTAGTCTCGAACTCCTGGCCTCAAGCGATCCTCCTACCTCAGGCTCCCAAAGTGTTAGGATTATAGGCACAAGCCACTGCATCTGGCCAAAATGTAACTTTTAAGCACCTAAATTCTAATTTAAAACAAAACTAGCCTAAAAACTACTTTATCTTATTAAAACTGATCTTAATGAACACACTTAAATTCTTTATTCACAGTTAATAATCACTTAAAAGGCAAGTTACATGTTTCTAGAATATTTGGGTTGCTTTTCTCAGTCAGATGCTATATTCCTAACGGTCTCAGTTTTAACAAGCAGCTGAGAAAGAGAAAAGTAGCTCTTGACCTTCAGATCTGGCCTGACACAACTAGGCCTTGGTTTTCTCCTGTTGAATATAATCTCAAATATACCTACAAAGTCACTCTGTTACTGCAAAGAAGTGAGACCAAAAATTAAAAAAAAAAATTAACAAGCAGCAAGACTACCTCTGCTTCATATTCCAGCAGATTAAAAGAAGACACTGTGAGCACTACAAAAATAACAAACATCCTCATCTCCCAGGTAATATGAGTGACTGCTGCTTCTCTACCAGTTACAAGTTTGCTTGAGGAGGCCAGCTCCAGGACAAAACCCCACGTGCGATCTTTCATGCTGGACCAAAGGCAATTACATAGGCTTTAGCTAGCAGGCCTAATGGGGGAAAGCTGGCCTCCCACACCAGACTTGGTGCTCAGCCAGTGACCGCAGTTTCTAGAAAGTGTTGCAGGCAAGGACTAAATTCTAGAGATGTCCCTGGTTATTCTATCAAACACTAACTTAGGTGCTACTGTGAAGGACTTTGCGGTAGAATTAAGGTTACTTATCAGTTGACCTTAGAACAGGGAGATTAGCCTGGATTATCTAGGTGGATTCAATGTAATCACACAAGATCTTAAAAGCAGAAGAGACAGAGAGATACGGCAAAGAGGGCAGAAGAGAGGTGTGGCAGTAGGGGAGGCTGGAGAGATTCCAAGCGTGAGAGGAGTCAACCTGCGGCTGCTGGCTATGTACGCGGTACGGCCATGTAGGTAAGGAGTTAAAGGCTGATGCCTATGCCCACTCCCAAACTGACAGCCGGCAAGGAACCCGAGACCTCAGTCCTACAATGGAAAGAAACTGAATGCGGGAAACAGCCTGAATGAGTTTAGAAGCAGATTCTTCTCCAGAGCTTCCAATAAGGAAAGCAGCCCTGTCATACTTTGCTTTTTAGACCAGTGGGACCTATGTTGGACCTCTAACCTACAGAATTATGAGATAACATACATCCAACCAAGCTGCATCCATCAATGGTCTCTTGCTCAGTTACGGAAAAAAAGGATAAAATCTAAAAACTACCTTTTAAAATCTGTTCTGTAGTGACTCAGTTCACATTTTATCTCTTCAACATCTTTCGAGTACCAACATTAGTATTGCCAGACTATAAATGACTTTATCATTATTTCTGTTCAGTCCATAAAGGCTATACTCAAATCCAGGTACCTTAGGCCCAGAATATTTTTGCTACAGTTGCCATGCCAAATACTTGCCCAAAGTTAGACAATGCTACCTATCCTATCCCTATCCTATAATCTTTCTGGAAAGCAATTTGGATCTCAAGAGTCTTCAAGAAATCATACTCTTTGATCAAGATGTTCTTCTAAAAATCTACCAAACAATTAGAAATTCTGACAAATATTTATGTACAAAGACGTTCATCAAAACACGAACATAACTACTATGTGCCAGACATTGTTTTGAGTGATTTAAAGAAACCAATTCATGTAATCTTCACAATAACCCTATGAGGTGTAGTATTGTCACCCCCATTTTACTGCTGAGAGAATAAGTGGCAGAGAAAAAAATCCATCCCAAGCAATCTAGTTGCAAAGTTCTTGCTTTCAGCCACCTTGCTAAACTGCCTTTCACAAGAAAAGAACAGCTAAAGTATTACTCAGTTACAATAGAATACTATGAAGACAGTTAAAATGCTGCTTAGAAGTATATTAAATAGCATGGGGATATAAAGATGCAATATTAAATTTAAAAAGCAGAAAAAATATATACATATACAATTTAATGCTATTAAGATTAATTATATCTTAAAATTAATATTAAAGCCTTTAATTATATTATCTATTAACAACTATGTATACCTGTATAAATACATACATATAAAAGTATATTAAAATTAACTTTTAAAAACCTACACATGACAGAATTAAAGAGATATTCAATGTTAGTGGATTTATTTATAAAATAGAGGTTTATAAATCCTTTACTGCAAATTGTTAAATGGATTTAAAAGACAAGTAGGGCTTGCTTTTTATAAAATGATCAAATTATTCTATGCTCAGCTAACAGAGTTTTCTTTTTATCACCAAAATATTCTGTTAACTGTCTGTACTTCTGGTGAACACTTGTTTGATCTTGAGAAAAAGTTCCTGTTTTAAAAAGTTCCTAAAAGTTACTATTGTTTCTTGTTGTTTCTAAAATATTGTTTAAAATAAATTTCATGTTTAAAAAAGTAAGACTTACGTTCATTTCTTGTTTTATCTGACAATTCTTAACTGTCTTTCCCTTATCATGCTCTACACGTGGAACGACAAAAGATGTCTTTTACGCCTAAGCTATCTTTGGGTTTCCTAGGATGGCTACTGGGTGACAAAGATTTGTTCCTTTGCCTTATAAAAAGGTAGAAAAACAGAAATAATCACTTTTGGGGGGCATGCATTATCCAAATTTAATTAACTCAAAACTACTGTGAGAAAACTTTAAAGGTATAATCAAAGATGCATGTCGTACCTGTGTATAATACAATCCTAACAAAACCGTAAGAGTGGAGCAAGGATAAAGGAGCAAGGCCACTTTGAGTACCTCTATACGGATTTTTTTGATATAAGGTATGAGACTTGGGTAGAACTTCATTTTTTAACCTAGGGATGTCCAATTGTTCCAGCACCATTTGTTGAAAAGGCTATCCTTCTGTGAACCTTAAAGAGCTAATCCTTCAAGATGGATCCTGAGTGGCTAATTGGGTATAAATTCAAATACAGCCAACCAGCCATTTGCTAACTAGAAGTCACACTCTTACGCTTGAGTTCCCAGAAAACTCACCCCTGTGTCTAACTTTGGGACTTTCATAGTTGCTTGTTCCCATTCACACTGCTTGAACTAAGCAACCAGAGCGCACCTGTATCAACCAATCACGGCTCAGCTCTATCAACCAATCAGAACTCAGCTACACTGCCGAGTCAGAACTAAGCAAGTTTGAATCTTTCATTTGCATAAACAGACCTGGGTGGGAACTCTTGCCATAAAACCTGAACCTTCCCTTTGTTCTCTGAAATGCACATTTCTTTTACACTGAAGGCTGCATCTCCCCAGTTTGCAAACTGTTCACTAGAATAAAGTCTTTCCTCCAAATTCCTTTTCAGAAGCATTTTGTTCACATTCTCTCCATTGAACTGCTTTTGCATCTGTCAAAAACCTGTTGCGCATATTAGCGTGGGTCTATTTCTGGGTTCTCTATTCTGTTCCACTGATTTGTCTATTTCTCTGCCAATATCACAGAGCAGTGATTACTGCAGC